TCCTGCTGACTTCTGGACTTGTGTTCTGCATAAGAAAGATGATCTTTTGGGATCACAGTTTGTCTGAGAGCTGGATTTTGCATCTGTTTCCTATGGGTTGTGGGTGACATGTTCTGCACTACTCTGCCTCAGGTCAGCAAGTCTCCCAGGAATTTCTGGATTGAAGTGAGGTTAATTTCTAGCTCTGTGGCAGGAGATAGACCTGGAGTGTACTCTTTTAAATTGTTTTAATCTAAAGTCCATCTTTTAAATTTAAAGCTTGCTGCTATCACCAGCTTTACACCCCTCAAAAATGTGTATAGTGTGCAGGTAATCACTCTTTGGATACTAACAGCAGCATACTTTCTGTAGTCTCCATTTCTACTAACCTGGACTGGACGATTTCTTCTCTGGGGCAAAAACTGAAGGCTCTAGCTCTGAGGTCGTTCTTCAAGGACCATTCCTGTCCTGAGGCATCTGGAAGGTTCTGCTCGCTCCATTGTCAAGGGCTCTAGGAGTCCACCTTATTAGCCCTGGCTTGTCTATGTGGATTAATGTCTTGGGAATCACCCCAGCCCTTGGGTCCTTCATGGAAGTATCCAACCCTTTTTCTGTTTCTTAATACCCAGACAAAAAGATATGTAATCCTGTGATTCAGCCACTTCATACCTACAGTACTTTGCTCAGCTGGAGCCCTATTGGCACTGGAGCATGTCTACTTTTATTTTATTGATTTATTTGCATTTTTTTCTTTCTCTCTCTGTTAATGGGATTAGGTGGATTTTGCTTGTTTATTGTTTTTTTGTTTGGTTGTTTTTTTTTTAAACTGGTGTCATTTACCCTTGGAAATATGAGCTTAGGTGGAGAACTTTCACACTCTGCTGCACTTTCCCCAGCAGACTGTAATTCCACAGGCAAGTAGGAGGTCATGCTCAGCTTCCTAAGAACGTAGACTATGTAAAGGAAGAGTTCACATTTCTTCCTTAAGTGCTGAGATGCCTAAGATATTACTACTTGCACAAGGGACTTCCTACTCTGCCTTTCTGATCTTAGAAGAGATTTAATCCTTCAGACAAATTTGAGATGTTTATCTAGTGAATGTGTCTGTTAGCATTGAGATTCTCATGCCAGCAACTATTGTATGATCCTAAAAGCATGTGGTAGATTACTGTAAAAGATACTATTTTGCTCTCGGGAAGTTTAATCTCCCATTTGGAGATCTCCTTTACATCTATTATGCATTAATTAAGCTGAGACTTTTTATATGCCAATAGAAGAGTTTATAAGGTTATTTCACTGTTTCTGCTCACCTGACATTAGAATGGGTGTTCTTCAACTTTCCTGGTTCCTCTGGTGATGTTTTCTTCCTCTGATGTATCGCAGCATACAGAAGGGAGGTCACCTATACCTGATTTCTCTTGGTCCATTGTTTGTTTTTTTTTTTTCTTCCAAATTCAGTCTTGTAGGTGTCTATGATAGTGAGGGAAAAGGCAAAGTGTCCTAGAAGTGCCTGATAAGTCAAGGATCACTAATATTAGGATTTCTGTGGCAATATGTCTCTACTTCCATAAAAAGTGGCAAGGTATACTGTATCTGCCTTACAGATACTTGGATCTTCTGAACAATTTTGAAGAGTGACTACTGTTTGGTGTTTTTTGAATGTTGAAATAGCATATCTTTGTTGTCACAGTAATACTCCTTATATTCCAAGTAACTTCTAAATGATTTTTACTAAAAGCTTGTTTTCTGGTGTAAATTGTAGCATGCTACTTCCTATACTTGCTGTTAAAATTAATAAAAATAAAAAAACAAAACCAAAGATGTGACTTAATTTAAATTTGAAGAATTATCATTACAGTTTATTATGAGGATACTTGTGGTAATGTGATCTTCTGTGCTGTTCCCACTTCCATTAATTGTTTTTTCACTCTCATTCAAAATCCAGTTTGCCGATTATGCCTTCTTTAACAACATCTCTCAATGCTGGCAAAATGGACATCAGTCCCTCTCCCTTGTTCAGACTTCTCTTCTCCAGGCTGAACAACCCCAACTCTATGAAAAGTGTGCAGGGAAATTGTAAAGCTCTTTAGGACAGAATTTCTGCTATATTTCTGCTGGAAGACTGGGATATTTCTGAAATATATTTCTGAAATATATTAATTCTCTTCACATGTCTAAATAAAAGAAATGGAACTATATTATAGTAATTTTAATTTTCATTCAGGCCCAGTTTGGAACTTTATCAGATTACTTTGAAGCTCTGCGCAAAGCAAGCAATTTGGGTGAGAAGAGCAGCAATTCATTTTTTCCTGTTTTAAGTGGAGACTTCTTCACCTATGCAGACAGAGATCATCACTATTGGAGCGGATACTTTACATCACGACCCTTCTATAAACGACTAGATAGAGTCCTGGAATCCTACTTACGGTAAATACTGTCATCCAGTAAATTTATGACATGTGTCTTTGCATGCAGGAGAGATGAATCTAGAAGTACTCTAAATCTGTGGGACAGATGGAAAAATGATTTTGAAATACAGTTTTCTTATGATAAGGATAGCCTAAGTGGTCCCCAAATGTAGTTGTGGTTACAAGTATTAGATGGTGTATGTTTTTTTAGTAAATTCACAGAAATGCAATGATATTTTTTCCATCCAAACAAATAGGTTGTTCTAAAACACTATTGAAGTGATCAGCAAGTCCTGATTCCGTAAAAAATAGCAAGTAGTATGCTTTTTATTTCTGTAACTGATTTGGGTAACTGTCAGATTACAGCTATAATATGAACTCTTTTAGAGAGAAATACAAAACTGCAAATTTTACAGGATTGTCAGAGGCATTTGAGAAGTAGTCAGGAATGTGGTGTGCCAAGTGATCTCAGATTGTAAGGTACTGCTCTGCTGAAGAGTGTTTGCATCTTCTTTAAAGAACAAAACATTGCTGAATTTTGGTATTGGCATATTCAAGTGATTCTCCTTTGTAGCAGCTGTAGATAAGACACATTGTAAAATTATTTAACTGTATTTTAAGGCTCCAGAAAGAATACACCTATTGTAGTGCTTTTATATGCTGTTCAGACCTTTTTGTGGTAGAGAAGAACTTCTGTAGTGCTGAGAAGTCCTTCCTTAAGGATTTCTTTATAATTTTATTTTGTGTTGTAAGGGCTGCTGCAGTAGTGCAGGGAGGAAGAGAGGTGTGGAAAGTAGTGTTTTGGAGGCAGATACAAGTACCTTTCAGAAGAGAAACCTCCGTATCTAGCAGAATTTGTTTTCCTTCTTCCAGAAATCAAGTCTTTACTCTCTAAAATGAAGGCTTCTCAAACTTGAGACACAGCTACTCTCTGCTCTGTAGTATGTTTTTCTTGTAAAGAAAGTGGCTTTTTCTAGCCTTCTCTCTGCACTCGAAGAATAGAGTGAGAGACCTGAGGAAATTGGGAAAATTAGTGAAGAAGAAATGATAGCAATAGAAAGACTAAGAAATATGTAAGGAGAAGTGAGATCAAGGCCCTGAGAATAGAAAGGTGTTAGGGAAGAGACAATGTAACCGAACTTTGAAGGCATAGCATTGACCAGGAAGGAGAAATGTTTCACAAATGGGAAAGCAGGGAGAAAAGAAGCCAAAGACTGTAAGGAAGGAGAAGAAAAATAAGACCAAAGCTGACAGGAATGGCAAAATGCAAGACTTAAGCTCCCTTTGGCAGAAAATGTAAAGGAGAAGTTATCAGAGGAGTGACTTCTGCAGTTTTAATCAGAACTTTGGAATGTTATGGGTGTTATGCTTAACATGTACAAAACCAAAAATGTTAGATTACAAAGAGGTCATTTGTAAGGCTAACAGTAATTAGGAAGTTTGATGACTATAGAAATATTTATGAATAGACTATCAAGCATCACTAGGAATATGATTTTCTTAGAACCATTTTATTTTTTACTTACTGTATCAACATTATTAATACTAATTAGCTCTGTAAGCTTATAATAAGCTCATTAGCTTATTATAAGAATCTTTGATTTTCAGTGAAAACAGCCTTGTTTAATTCTGCTATTGGAAAAGACAAGATGTATAGAAAACGGGGCAGATTATAAATTTAATTCCTTCCTTAATTGTTTTTCATACTTTTGCCTAAATTCCTTTCTGTTTCTTAAAATGCACCAAGGATTTAATTTTCTTTTAGCTTTATCATAGCCTATTTTCTCAAATTTTTTAAAGTGTTTATTGTAGTTTTTCTGGTTTTTATTACTTACATTGCCAAAAACTTTGTATGAATTGCTTTCAAGTTTATTTGTAGTATTGACAACTTTACACTGTTAAAAGATTCCTTCATGTAAGAATTTCAGTTAGATTTAGGTTCTGAAAAAAGACTTAAAGGTAAGGAATGTCTGGAAGAAAACTAAACCTTCAGTCTTATGAATTAAAGCACATTTCTAAAAATGTACTTGGGAAGTTTTGCATCCTTCATTAACCTCTATGAATAAAATGTAAGAACAAAATGTATAGATGTTTTCTTGTCAGTTTAATATTGGGCTTTTTGGCAGTTTTGCTTCCAGAGACCTGGAGAATCTTCAAGGATGGCATATTAGCTATGAGAACAGCAGAATTAGCGGTTTTGTCTTTTATTTTTTATTTCCTTTAGAGTTTGAGGAAATACTTTATAATGATATTTAATTAATAACACACTTGCCCCAACCTTTTAAATTTACAATAGTTCTTTTTGAGCTAACTTACATCTATCTATCTTGTGTGCATATGAGTATGTATATATGTGTGGAGGAATTAACCATGAACAGGAGATAATTATGTGTTTGTGTGTATTCTTTACTAAGGATGAATGCTTGTAAGTTCCAGCAGTACCAGTTTAAGAAGTACTTCACTGCTACTTAGTAGCCAGAAAATAGTGTTCAATGTCAGGACCTTCTATTATGGCTGGTGATTTAAGCAAGACAAGAGTTGTTTGTTTGTTTTTTTCCTGCTTTTAAACAAGTTTTGGGTTTGTGCAACAAAGAAAGTGCATGAAAGTTTAAGGATTTTGTAATAGAAATTGACATCATTACTGATTTGAGACATAATTGATTCTTTAATATTGAGAGATGGATGAATTGAAGTAGTTTGAAGGGTGATGAAATAAGTGACCAGAAGTTTGTTTAATGTTATAAGGGAAGGATGCAAAGAACAACAGCGTAGTTGGGGTCAAGTTAGGAATTCATTCTGTGATTTCATTCTCTGCAGATGTAATCAGGGAAAAATTATGGTAAGTCTGCAAAAAAGATTGTTGAAGTAATTCAGAAGCAGGACAAGAGCTGCAGTGATACTTCTAACTGCACAGATGGATAGAAAAGAGCACATCTTCAGAGTTTAGAAACCCTTGGAAAAATTATTTCTTAGCTATTTAGGTTACATTTAAAGTGGACCTAAAGGTAACTTAGTGCAGGCTTTGGACAATCAGTGAAGCAAATTTTAGTCTATTTGCAGTGTCCCATCAGGTGGAGATACAGTGACAAATTACAACAAAGTGGATAATCTGTGGTAACTACTTTAGGTACCTAATCTGCAGTAGTTTGAAACGGAGGTGAGAAAACCAAGGCTTTATACAGCTTTTATGGAAAGATATTAGAGGTAAATGCTTACTTACAGGTTGAAGTGTTCTCTAATACAATATTTCTTATGGTTTCGCTTCTGAGTGTCTTTCATCTTTGACCATTGAACCATTCTAATATTTAGGATGATATTGAGACTTGAAAGGAAAATTGCATCTAAGAGACTGATGTACTGAGTGGATCTGTAAAACAGAATCAGTTATTTTTATGAAAGGCAAAAGAGTTCCAAGTGTTCCTTATAGACAAAATGGATTTAAAGTGAAGTTCTGGAAGCAGTATGAACTGAAAATGTATTTACCATACACCTTCATTTTAATGTTATTTCTTTTGGGTTTAAGGTTGTTACCTTGTTTATAAATAATGAACTTCCCTATTAAAAAAAAAAAAAAAATTGAGGTGGATTTTTGGGAGGGAAATCTAACCTGTATTTTGAGGACTAAAAATTTTTGTGTTCTCTACTTCATAGTTACAGTTGGGTCAGTGTTTAGTGGCTAAGTCAAATTTTTTAAAACAGGTAAAACATTTTCAGAAGGTTTTATCCACTAGGTGAATGTGCATCTCATGCCTTTTTAACTACAATATACTTGTTTTCCTTTCAAGTTAAGCTGTAATAGAACAGAGTAGAAGGAATGCATAGATGTCGGGATTTGCATTAAGCGACATTAAAATCAGAGCCATTAAGCTTAAGTGCACTAATTATAAAAAGAAGAACTTTTAACACCTTGATTTTGTGTGTAGCTTCTGAGCAGTTATCTTACCTGTAAGACCAAAATTTCATCCTATTCCTCAAAAAATGATAATATGAAAATGAATCGAGCTGTTATATTGTTACCAGAAAGTGGCAAAATAATTCACTCTCTAAGACGTATTTTGAAGTTTTAGAAAGCAGGCATTCTTTATTGCAGTGCTGGGTGCACGGGGGATAACTCCACCTAACGTGCACACCCAAAAGACAAAAATAGCAAGTATTTATACTATGTTAATATACATATTCAGTATATTTCCGAGTAGTGCTTATCACATTCATGGATTTTATGGGGACTTGTTAGCATATGCTAATGTCTTTTGCCCATGTTTGTTGGCACCTCTGGGTGGCTGTCGGGGGTCTTCAGACTCAGTCCTGATATCACCTATACCTTATCCCTCAAGGCTGGTTTTGTGATCACCTTGGAACTTTCTTATCTTTGCGCATCTGTTCTTCCAAGGCCGAGCTGTTTAAAATGAGATTGTTCCAGAGCTTCTTATCTTACAACTAATTATTTTCTAAGTTACAATAGTTTTCCTTTTGTTTGGTTACATCTATTGAGCAATGGCTCTAATTGCTTGAATTGATCTTAATATTTCAGTATTCACAGATATCAATATGTACAGTGTACCTTTCAGTTTAGTTTGACACATGCTGCTTGCAGTTTTTACATAATTGTCGCCTATGTGATGCATAATGGCAAAGAGACCAAACTGAATCCAAAGGGGTTTTTCATGTTAGCAGTTAATATCAATGCACAGTCTGAAAACCCAAGTTGAGAATGATTTTAAAATTTGTTGTTACAGCTTTGGTAAATGTAAAGTTAATATATTTTCAGTTTTAGTGTTGTTTTTTTTTTTTTGTGGGGTTTGTTTTGTTTTCTATTTATATGCTGAGAAGTTAGTTTTACATTTGTTTCAAGAACATATGTTATTTTGCTTTCTTTGCTTTTTATAACATTAACCTGTATCTTCCTGGTTTCTTCAAACACCTGAGAAACCTTCATTAAGCTCAAATAAAGTTTGAAAAGGAATCTGACACTTTTCAGACTTACAGAAACAGAACTGTAACATTTTAGGAAAAAGAGATGGGAAAAAAGTTAACAGATGGTTACCCACAATTTCTACAGGCATCTTTGTTAGATATTCATAATGACTGGCAATTATAGGGTATTTTTTTTGTAAAATAAATTCAGATTCTCATTAATCAAGTGGGAACCTAATGGTAATATTTTAGTGCTAGACTTTTGCATAAGGAGTAGGAGAAAAGGGCTCTGCATTCTGTTCAGTCTAAGGGTTTTTGAATCCAGTGTTCTCACTGTTCAGGTGAATGTATAGTGAGTAGGTGCATGAACTGCCTAAGTCTTTAGGAGAATTTAGTTTGCTGAAAGTATAAATGGCAGAATAGATATTATATAGAGTGTACAGATTAATATATTTCTTTAAGATAATTTGTTTAATAAGTTGTTTTTTGAAATGGGAGTTGTATGTCTGCTGTAAGGCAGTCTATCATTTTAAGATCAGATCTGTATACCTCACACATTTGAGAAAATGGTATATTACTTTGTACTGTCATATTTTTATTTTAAAGCTCTATTTTCCATCTCTGAAGCCTTGCAGGAAGATTACAAGATGTCAAACTAGTTGATGATGAAATGCAGCAGTGATTGTTAAGTGTTGTTTTAGCAACAGGCTAAAAAGTACAAGATTAAGGTTTAAAGAACTCACAGAACTAGGCATGAGGAAAGGTGTAAAAACATCAGTTTATTCTTCAGGTAAAATATGTGTTGCTTTTTGCTTTAAATATTTGATTCTTCTCTGCAATTCTAGGGCAGCAGAAATCCTCTACTCCTTGGCTTTGGTACAGTCCAGTAAATCTGAGAAGATAAGTGTATTTCCTTCAGTGGATAACTATAAATTGCTGACAGAAGCGAGGAGGAACCTTGGACTCTTTCAGCATCATGATGCTATTACAGGAACAGCTAAAGATTGGGTAGTTGTGGATTATGGCACGAGGTAACTTATAAATACATACACTTAAATGTTAATTTCCCTATGTTTTCTTAAAACAGAAGTATTTATTTCAGAGATACAGATTTACTATAGTTAGCAACACAGTACTGAAAGTGTACTGGTGCTTTACAAGAGAATTGGATTTGGTTACCCTTGCTCTTCATCTATGAAATAATTTTTTAATCCTCTGAAGTAAGAATTTTATATCCAAACAAAATTTCTGAGTTTCAAAAGAAGCTAGGTAGACACGATGTGGAGAGTTTTTTAATACAGATCTATTATTTTCTGCAGTAGCTGTTGTATAGGAGAACATTTTATATCTGCCTGTGCTAAGCAATGATCAAGAGACATGCTAATTTAAGCATATATTCCTTGGAAAATCCCACAGCCTCTGTAACCTACTTTTCTGCAATGTGGGAAATCTTTTTCATGTTGCCAATCTTGTAGTTAATTTGTCTGTTGTTGTTTGTTGCTGTTATATATGGTGGGTATTTGCTTTCTCAGTATCGACGAATTATTCTGCCAGCTACTGTGTGGAAATTTTTTGAAGAAGAGTGTATGATATCTATCTCTCTCTATAAGTCTGTGTACGTAGATACATGCTTTAATTATGCATTTGTTAGAAAAATTGTTACATATTGGAATGTTAAGCACTAGTAAATTTGATTGAGGTAGATGATGGCAGACAATTGATGGTAAAGCATGTCTTGATTTAAACTACTGCATTCATGACAAGTATTTTTAAATTCCATAACTTTATTAATTTTTTATCTGTTAAAGCGTAGGTATAATCAAGGTATAAACATGTGCAATGCAGTTGATTATGAGAGTAGCATAAAAGCTTTTTTCACTTTACAAATGAAATTAGAGAGCTCTGTTTAAGAATTTGTAAACCTGTGTGAGTTGAAGCAATGGAAATAATAGTAATAATGTAAAATTTTGTGTTTCGGATTGTTTTACTTATCATGCTTAGAAGCAGTCTTGACTTTGTGACCAGCATTTCAGGCTTGTCTCCACTATAGATACTGGAAATCGAATATATAAAACATGCACTTTCCCAAGATTAGCATTTTGAAAAAGTACTTGGTATTTTGAGGGTATACATTTTGTAGCAGAACAGTGGGGTGGAGATGTACCTCATTTTCAGTGTGCAAGGTAGGAATATAATGAAATTTAGAATATTTCTGCATTTTGCAGTCTGGTCACCCATTGCAACTCGCTGTTCTTAATTTCATGCTATATAGATATTAAAAATTACATTTATTTTTCTTTTACTCATACTTTAGAGTTCTTTAATCTTTTTAAATTTTGGTGTTATCATATTGAATGAAAACTGAGAACTAAGACTTTAAAATTTTTAACAGGCTTTTCCATTCAATAATGAACTTGAAGAAAGTGATAATTGACTCTGCTCATATTCTTATCCTAAAGGATAAAGTTGCTTATAATTATGACACATCAACTCCATTCCTGAAGATGGTGAGCTATCTTTCTTGATTTCCTCCAAAAATAAAATGTGAACTATGTCTTTTCAATACAGTTTGAGACGCCTGGGAAAAGTCAGAATGAAATTTGCTACTAATACCTACTCAGAAGCCTGCTACTTATCACTCACTGTTCATATTAATTGAAGACATTGGAAAGTAAAAAGTGAAAACTTCAGCAGTTACTGCTGAAAAAATCCCACACATCTAAACTAAATGGGCTTATTTTGTTCAACTTTGTGAATCAGGTAGTAAAACCAGAGGTTCAGATTTTCTTGTGGGCATAAATTTACTGGTGACTTCAGTGACATACATATAATAAGTCAATATATAACAGTATGCAGTCGTGTAATTTGACTTTGCTTATTACTTAACAAATGTAGGAAGAGGAAAATTTCCATCCTGAACATAAGCCTAAGCTAAATTTTCAAGACCAGGTCTACATATCACTGTGTGATTTTTTTTTTTTTTTCCTTAGCTGAAATTAATCGAAACTGTAATCTACTGATGATAAAGTCAGCAACAGATCCACACATATCATTTTAAGACTCATTTTACAGTGAAGAGCATCTTAAAGAAACACACTTGCTAATATTGTGTCCTTTCAAAATTCTTAATTTCTTCCCTTTCTGAACAAAAGCGCTGTGCTGTGATAGCTAGGTAAACTTACAAGATCTACTAATTCCATACACCTGGAATAGAGAGGAAATGAGATGCTTTAGTTGCATTGTGCATAAACATAGTAGGATTAAGACAGTCTTTATTATATGATTACCTCTCACTTCTAACATAACTAACATATATATTCTTCTGGCTTAGATGTGCAAGACATGTCATACTTTGAATTTCTCTTCCAGTCACATATATTTTTTGGAAAAAAAAAAAAGTTAAAATAGTTCTTTGTACTTTGATACTAATACATATGTGCATGCTGCATCTTTGTGCCTCTGTGTGTGTGCTATGTGGGTGTGTGCCACAGATACGTAATTTTTCTCCTGGTTGGAAAGGCTAACAAAATGAATGTGCGCCTTCATAAAGTAAGAGTATTTTGAAGTGAAAACAGAAATGAAAACGAAATTTCTTATTTCAATGAATTTATTATATCAATATAAAACAGAAAAAAAAAAGGTGATGCCAGAAGTATATTGTGATTTATATAGAGTAACTGCAGCATATCATAAACCTAATATTCCTGCAGTACTTTGTTTACCACAACAAAACGTTTTTAGTGTGGGATTTGTAGACTGCTAATGGGAGAACTTAAGGATATTTACAAAAAACCTTATGCAAGCCTTGAGCAAGTAGAAAGTTCAAAGGCACTTGTTTTGAAATACCATCATGGTATTTTGGTGGCTGATGGAAGCTGACATCAAGAATTGCTCAGAGATGGGCATTCAGAATGAATAATGTCCTGGTTCTGGCAAGGATAGAGTTAATTTCCCAAGGAGCCAGGACAGGTGAGCCAAGCTGGCCAGGGCTATTCCATACCATGTGACGTCATGCTCACTATAAAAGGGGGGCTAGTCGGGCAGGGGAGGGACGGCGCAGTTTCCGTGCGGTTCCGGGACGGTTCCAGGATGGGCTGAGTGTCTGGTCTGT